GCTCTTTTATACAGGGCGGTTGTTGTTGATATGATTATGAGTTATAGCATATTTTTCAATTGATAATCGTCAACTGATAATCACATCAACAAGAACCGCCCTGTATAAAAGAGCATCGCGGGTGTGTTGACATGATTATCGGTTGATGATAACTTGTTTTTCAACTGGTAATCATATCAATGAACTGCCCTGTATAAAAGAGTGTCGCGGGTGTGTTCGGCTCACTCGAGATGCTCAACTGAAGAAGATCCGGTTCGATGCGAGACGAAGGCGCCACATCGAGAAGAGAAACAACTGCGGACCATCGACAAGGATCGTCGACTCTCATGAAAACGAAGACGTCGAAACGTTAGACGAATAGACATCTCATATCAACCTCGTGTAAGCTCAACAGTATAATCGTATGTTGATTTATAGTACCGAGAATAAATGACGGCCGGTTTCAAAATTATTGATCAGCCCTCAGTTTGAAATTGTCCGTTGCTCTGGATGGTCGCGCGTCGACAGCTTCCATTCGAAGTTTTCTCTCGGTAAGTCTGATTTTCCTCTGAAGTTGTTGAGTACTTCAGTTAATCAGTAGTCTTCCTGAACTCTATTGCTCTAATGAACGTTCTATTACTCTACTGTTTTCTCTTAGTGAGTCCTTACCACATTCATTTGAAAGCCCTCCACTTTTCCGCAACTCCAAACATGAAATTTTTTCGGTTTTATGGAATTCAATAATTATTAACATTTCCATAACTGAAACGCCTGTGCACAGCTTTAGCTTTGAAGCAGTTTCCATCCCATGCGCTTCCAAAAAAAGAGGCTTCTTTGACTTGACTTATGGGTTTTGCTTAGTAATATTTCATATTTTGTCCTTGTTTCTTCTTTTCTTATTATTACTTTCTTACTGCCGTTTTCGCCTATTAGTTTATCACTGTGATAAGGGGTCACCTTTTCATTCGTCTTTCAGAAAATTCCCACTTTCCGTTCCACCTTTCCGCAAGGGAACACAGAGCAGGTTCATGACAGAGCTCCGCTAACATATTTCGAATTGACTAAAAAAGAGAAATCCTATTCCGTGAGCGCTAGTTCGACGATGGCCAGTTTAGCCTGCTTAGTTTTTCTTCGTACGCGCTCAGTTAGGATTCGTTCATTCTTTTTCCATAATTATAAGTAGTTCTGGATTTAGCCATTGCAATCCTCTTGGAAGCACTGGCGTTAGGCACTGAAGACGCTGCGATTTTGTCCCCTATTCAGTCACAGTTGGAACACTCATACCACGCAGTCGGTGATTTGCCAAATGCTTGCATATCACTGCTGCGAGGTTGTGGCTTCAAGGCACGTTTTATTTGTTCCCTTTCATTTGTATTCCATTCACTCGTGGAATCGCTTCTAGACTAAGCAGCGATAAAGCCAAAGAGAGTGGGGTATGCGAAAACGTAGCTGTATTGACTGATCAGAATTTATTTGGTGATGCACTCATGTTCACCAATGGACAGATTGCAATCGCCATCACCACAATGGAAGCAACGGTATTGTCTCAGTTTTAGGTCTAATGTAAACTAAAATTATTTAATCTTGCATGTTGTAGGATTGTTTGGTGGGCGGTTTCTACAACCTTGCGGCCATCTACGTCCTTCGGGCGAGACAAATGGTAAAGAAAGTAAGCGTTAATGAGGAAGTTATCTGTCGGCGCTATGCATTTAGGCGGGAATACGACTGTTTCCAGGGACAAACCAGGAAAATATGTTCATTCGAAGATGAGAGTGCGTGGGCTGAGTCTACTGAGAATTTGTTGTCTGACTCTTCTTATATCAGCGATTTGAATGAAGCTTAGTCTCTCTACAGGTTAGTTCTTCCTTTTTTGTTTCCGGTATGTTTTAGTGTCTCGATCTATTATATTTCGTAGCCTTTGATTTCCAGCAAATGCGTGTCTGCATGTAGAAGCTTGGTAGATGAATCTGCACGTGGTCGCGTATATGGTTGTGTAGGAAATGCCTTGCACTTGGTGATTATACTCGGGCACCATTCTATCATGAGAACGCAAGTCATTCAACATTTCCGCTTTATACTCCTTATTGTGATTTGTTACATTAGTTTTTTCTTTCCTTATCCGGAGCGTTCGTCGTTCGTAAGAAAGTAAACGCTAGTCGGGAGGATATTTTTCGGCGGGTTGTGCAACAGTACATCTTTTTCCAGTAATCACGCGGCAAACAATATACACGTGAAGATGAGTGTACGTGGATGGAGTCTTGCAAGAAGTCGTTGTCTTATTATTTTCATATCAGCGGTTTGAAACGGCTTTTTCTTTTTACTGGTTAGTTCTTGTTGAGCTGATGCGAGGTTAATATAGGGTTTCACCGTCGTCGTTGTTGTTGTTGTTGCTGTTGGTCGATGATTGACGTTTCGGCGATTTCACCTTCCTCATAGCCGTGCTGTTACGAGTGTTACTGGTTAGTTCTGTTTGTCTTGTTTCTAGTATGTTGTTCTAGTGTCTTAACCTATCATATTCTGTAGCATTTTATTTCCAGTACATGCGCGCGTATTTATAAAAGCTTGGCAGATCAATCTGGATGTGGTCGCGCGTATGATTGTGCAGGAAATGTCTCGCACTTACTCGGTGATTATAGTGGACCATCAGATTATCATCAGAAAGTAAGTTGTTTAGCATTTCTGCTTCATATTTACCATGGTGATTTGTTACTATCAGTATTTTTTTCCCTACCAACGGTTTAGCTCCTTATCTTGGCTGGGAGGTGTTGCTGGGTGTCGGGTTGCGACGTATAGTGTTGGGATTCATCCCCCCTGCTGGAGTCTTACCATGGCATTTTTGTTAGGATACTCCTCTGAATACAAGCTTTATCTTTTTATTTAGTGCCTATTCTTTTTTCGCGGCAGGGTATGATGTGAAATACAACCACAAGGATGCTGAGATATGAGCAAAAGTCGAAATTTCACGTGAGCTTCGGTTTGTGTGGTAGATAGTCACCGGTCAAGGTAATCGGAAGTTCGAAGCACACCAGAGGTCTCTAGTTTTACTTGTACTTCAATATCCTTGTGGTTGTACTCCTCTAAATACTTCTGACCATGAGTGGTACATCGATGAGGAGAAATTTTGACCTAAAAACTTGGCAACGTTTGCTGATTAAAATCTCGTCGTGCGATTTGAGCTTCATACTGTGCTGAACGTAGGGATCAAATTAGCGCAGTAAATGAAAAATATGATTAATAGGAAATCAGTAGAACTGCTATTCATAGTGAACATAAGTATCATGAAATATCATGAAATTTTATTCATAATTGATTTTTTGTGTTCTTATAATTATCAACTATGTGTTACTAGGACCCACCACCGTCCTGGTATAAAAGTCGCATGGTGGTAAATCTCCCTCTGATCCACAAGGGCTGCGACTGTTTGTGGTGGTGACAACCTGAGGCAGACTTTGGCCAGGCTAACCTCTGGATTCCAAGGAACCACAATGGCTTAACCAGCAAATCTCCAAAAAATGGAGGTTTTGCTGGGACCCGCAAAACTAGTGAAGGCGGGCAATTCAGGTATTCAAGTAAGCGATTAATCGGTGTGTTATCTCATTCATTAGCTAAAGCGAGGTCCTTATAAAAATTTGTTCAGCTACCTTTTTGGTCTTCCAGCTTTCTTCCGAGCAACAGTGATTCGAATCTCGAAGCATCATTCGAATAAAATATCAGAGCAGAGGGAAGGAGAAATTGAAGGCGTCGAAGAATTTGTGGAATAAATTTCTTCAACAACCGTCCGCTAACTTGTCAATGGAACAAAGCATTGATTATTCATGTCCACGTTAATGAAATTCAGTTTACAAGAGATTACGAAATGAAACAAAACCTGAAAGATGCTGGGATATGAGCAAAATTCAGAACCTCATGTGGCCTTCGAACTCGCGATTATCCTTTCCGAAAGGTTACGTGTTATCCACTGCTCAAACCGAGGCCCCTGTTTTTCTTATCTCTCAGGGATTTTTTGCCCTAATGGTGCCATTAGTAATCATCCTACAAAGGGAGTGATCTGGTGAGCACTAGTCGGCATTGAACCCAGTTAATTAGTTGAAATCGAAATCGGTTTCGAGTTTTGCTCACATTTAACCACCCTTGTGATTGTACTTCACACAGCGTCCTACCATGAAAAATGAAAGAGTAGCAGTAAATAAAAGTCAAACATCATCAATTATGTTTCGGAGCGACTTATGGAATAGTTTTGCTGTATATCTGAGCCTTCCAACGGTTTACCGCCTCATCGAGGCTGGGAGGTGTTCCTGGGTGTCGGACTGCGATCTACAGCGGTGATTTATCTCTTGGCAGGGTCTCCCAAGCTGGGAAGGAGTCCAGCGTTTTCACCAGGAAGCATTGCAAAGAGTAAACCAATACAAGGATCCAGCACGGTCCTGGTATCAAACTAGTCACATGCTGGCAAATTTCCCTCTCATGCGCAAGGACTGTGCTGTGACTCCATGTGGTGGTGGCGACCTAGAGCAGACTTTGGCCAGGCTAACCTCGGATTTTAGGGAACCACAATAACTTAACCGGCAAATGTCCGGAAAATGGAGATTATGCTGGGGCTCGCCCAACTAGTGAGGACGGGCCATTCAAGTATCAAATAAGTATATCTGAGCAAACATCTCCCTCCCATGCCCGCTTTCTCGCTTATGACATTCATTGTCTACGAAAACGTAGTGCTGAAAAGTTTGATCGAAAACATTTCTAGCAACGATCCTTCACAGAAAGTGAAAATTGCTAGTCAGGAATGAAGGATCAATCGAGAAAACGAGGACGCAACCTGCGCATTGTAAATCCTATCTCTGCACCACTAATCGACACCAGAGTATTTCTTAATAGGAGCTGGTCCGCACGGAAACAATGAGTAGGTAAAAAGTCGTATCGTTATTGTCCGAAGTCGGAAGCCTTTTCGTGCTTCACTTCACTTCCTGCTGTGTATCGCATGTGTAGCAATGGTAATGACAAGAAGAAGATTCATTACGATTTCACATCGTCCAAATGTTGTCGCTTTGTTTATGCAGTTTTTGCAAGGTGGTGTGGTTCTCACACTTTCCTCGAACACACTCGCCAACGTAGCAAATTCTCGTGCCTTCGAATCCGGAGCATTTTCCGCCGAGACGAACTTTCGCCATACAATGTGATTCGCTCTTTTCTGGCACGTGACAGAAGAGGTATCTAAAATGATAGAGTGATTAACTCTTGGGAAACTAGCAACTGGTTCTATGAAGACTTCGAAAAATCAAATGACATCGCAGTTTAACTGGTGTGGAGTGGCAAAAGAGTATCAGTAGTGATGAAGAACAACTAAGCCCAAATATGCTGGTTTTTCGCTTACTACTATCAAACAAATCCGTGGAAGTTCGCGGTTTCTTTCTACTATGACAAAGCACATAGATAAAAAAAGATAAAGCTCTTAGCGTTGATGAATCTCTGAGAGATGCGCCATGCATTCGACTTCACTAAGCATCGTTTGGAGGTGATTTCATGGGCATCCGGCTTTGCGACTCGCGGTGGGCTTCCGATGTATCAAGCCAGTGCTTCTGTCCTCCTAGATGGTACCAATTTGTCGACCCCGGGAGGATGGAAGGCTTGGTGGGCCATGGGCGCGGTGATCGATTCCACGTGTGTGTTGCAGCGCGCCACCGACCACTGCGCCAAATGTGGAATTACATAAATACGGCGCCAAAAAACCACACTTCTATGAAGCGAACAGACTCTGTGACAATAGAATCTCCAGACGTGTGGCGATACCTTTCAAAAGCCAAAAATTGAAAGATCAACAACTCACTTTGATCCGCACTCTGGATGCGTACGATTACAAATTGGACGTGGAGCGAATTCGTACAACTCGTCCGTGTAGGCATTCGACAACGCTTCTCCATTCGTCAACGGCTAGAAGTGAAACATGGATATTTTTGTTTTCAAACGAAAGAGACTTGGGAGGAGATGCGGTCCGGATTTATCCCCGCAAACTAAACACTTTACACACTTTCATTTGGCAAAAAAAGAAAACTTGGTCAAAGTTGTTTGACATTTTCTGTGATATGGAAGGAGAGTAATGAGCTCACATGCAACATGGGCATAACGCTGTCGATGTTGTGCCATGGTGGGAAACATTTCTCGTTGCTAGCGGGATAATCTCTCTCACGCTCAGTTCGACTCTACAATCTTTGTAAATATGCCCTCCAAAAAACAGATATCTCATTTGTATATAAGACGTTGAAAAAATATGTTAACAAAAGTTAAAAAATTAAACTCTGGGCATTGGCCAATCCCTGAGCGATGCGTTATGCATTCTACTTCATTAAGCATTGTTTGGAGCTGATTGGATGCATATTTGGCCTACACAGTGGCTCGCGGTGGCTTAGTGATGTATTAAGTCAGTGCTGCTTTCCTTCTAGATGGGTCTGCTACCAATTCACCGATCCCGGAAGGAAGGTTTGGTGAGCCTGGGGTGCGGGGTCGAGACCATGTGTATTGAAGGGCACCTCTAACAAATGACTAACGTGGGCCCTTGGGCAAGAGTTAGTTATCGTTAATGTAATCTTACACGCTCGCCATGAATCTCCCTCTGACAGAAATCAAGAGTCGATCGGTCGAGAGCATACTTAGCTTATCACATTGTCCTGAGATGAACGTGGATTATTTTGAAGGAATCGACTTGTTTGCCTTCCAGATTGGCTTATAAGGTGTGTAGGGTAAGGTATAAGGTCATCGCAAACAAATAAACTTCTCGGTGGTTGATGGAGACCACCTTATCAAGGTCTGTGCAAATAAACCTCTACGGAATCCTTTAATATCCAATCAAATACAGCAAAAATAAAGAGCTTGATGGAGAAATTGTGTGAGGGGATTTTAGAGTGCTTCCATCACTGATATTTGCCGGAACACTTTTCAAATAAATCTTAAATTCTTTTCTTTTTCTGAGCACGCGATACGTGAAAGGATCGTACGAACATCCATGTTCTCACCAAGTACTACCTGCATATTTCGTCGCCACGATTCAAAGATGAGGTCGATCATTGAGTGATGGAATAGGAAGATGATATCGTTCGACGATGAATGCTGTTTTCCCATGTCGCCATCTTAACTAGATAAATTACCACAGGAGTGGAGGAATTCATTCAAAGGAAATGGATTCAAAAACGAATCATAAGGTACCGATAAAGAAATGGACGTAGTCATGAGAATATTCTAGCATCCTCGCATCCAGTGCGTTTTTTATAGGGCAACTCTGAAGTGATAATATGGTAGCAAAATCTGCCGTTCTTGGAGTAAATTTTGTTTATCGAATGCTAATCAATAGTGTGCAGCTCACTACTAAGTTCAAAGGCCACATTTCAATTGTTCCCACAAATTCTTTCAAGCTAAGAGTTATATTTTCCCTAAACGAATGTTTCCATATCAGTCTAACTTTTGAGTAACTTCTGCGGATTTGATGAAAACGTAAGTACTCAGAAAGAAAACGATTGCATGTTTCCTCTAAATTCGTAAAAAATTGTTCGTGATATTTCGTGGAAAATCCTGCCAATGGTTTACCACCTCATTGTGGCTGGGAGGTGCTACCGGATACCGAGATGTGGTGCACAGGCGAGGAATTCATCCCTGGCAGAGTCCCTCAAGCTGAGAAGGAGTTCAGCGCTTCCATCTGGAAGCCCAGCTGAGAATGAACCAATACTGGGATCTACCACCATCCTGGTACCAAATTAGTCGGATGGTGGCAAATCTTTCTCTGATCCATAACGGCGGTGACGACCTGGGGTAGATTTTGGCCAGGCTGACCTCGGGACCCCAGGGAGCCACAATGGCTAAACCAGCAGAACTCCAACAACGCAGATTATACTGGGGCTCGCACAACCAGTGAGGACGGACCGTCCATGTGTGCAAGTGGAAGCATATTTCATATTTCATGGAAGATAATCGCAGCAAATCTCAAAGAATTACAAACGACTGATTTTTGAACTTCATTGCGCAAATTTTTAATGAAATCTCTTCAAATATACCATGAAACATGATGATCCGACATTAGTTAGCGTTTGCGACTTTGTCGTCTTCTTCTTCATTTCACCGTGCAACTCGCCTTTGGTCTAGACCTCATATGTTCCTGACACTCCAATGTATTTGTATCCTCGTCATTCCTAAGCCCTCAAGTACTGCATGCCTTATGCGTCACTGTGACCTCTTCAACGAGTATTTTCGAGTCTTTTCTTTCCAATAGTTTTTTCCGTTCTCCCACTAAATAAAATTTTGGTTCTTTTGTCTTTACCGTAAGCGGCCTACTGCTACCGAGAACCATGTTGATATCAGGATTATTCACAATCCAGTCGATTCGAGCGTTATTCAGCAATTCGCCAGCTTTGTTCAATCCGAAGCCACGAAATATCCACGGACGACCCTAGAAACTCAATCATTTCTACCGTATTCCATCACTAAAACCTTTTATGTTAAAATATCGTAATTAGTTTTGTTAACTTGAGAAATGGCTTTAGTGTTCTTGTGCTAATCTGAACAAAAAAGAATAAGGTCTAGGAATGAGCAGATAATCCAGTTTGACAACGTCACCTCCATCGTAGTCCAGTTCGCGTATGGTCCAGAGACAACGAATCCGTCTTCATTCACTTTTCCAAAAAAGATGTCGGTAAATATTAATGAGTCGAGTGGTTCAGGAAGTTCAGAATCAAGTGTGCTATCCCAATATGGAACACCCATATTGGGATTCGGCGAAAAATGGCGGATGACCAGCTCGAATCTGCAAGAACTGCACTAGAGAGAGGTTTTCTTGCTAACAGCTCCATGCTCAAACTTTCAACCCTTCTCCTCAATCTTCCTCTAGTTTAAAAGCTTTTGCTCCTCTATTCGTCTTTTGCGGCCAATTCTCTTAATAAAATAGTACTCAAATATCATGGAGTTGCTGGTAGCGTCTGTAGGTCAATAACACGGCTGAGAGACATGCGAAACGAAACATCGGCGTGGTGTGGTGGTGAACGCGTTAGCTCCCCGGAAAGGATAATAGCGTGTTCGGTCCCAACGTAGACACCAGCGGTCCCTAGTTTTGCAAGTATCTCAACGACATTGTGGTTACATTTCACATAATATTCTACCACTAAAAAATAGTAGGTAGTAAACAAAAACTGGCGATATCTTAAGATTCTTCACCCCAAGAAATAATCTTTTTATAGAGAACCTTTTCAAAAATTCCCGGTGCCAAACTGTGAACGCGGGGCCGGCGTGCACTCCTGCATATTTATGGACTCGACTGATTCTGTTGTATATACCACTGACTTTCATCCAGTTAACAGTGTCCTGCATGTAAATAACAAAAGTTCAAATAACAGGCGGTGTAAAGCGTTTTTTTCTTAGTGGTACTCACTTCAAACTGCCTCCTATCAAAGTCGGTCAAAGTTCGAATTTCCTGACGAAGTGCTCTTCTCAGAAGTTTCCCGCTTGGTAAAGTGCAGTCATCTTTGCTTATGCTTCCTGTAGTAATTATAACGTAAATGGAAACTTGAACATCAGTTTCGATCAACTTTAAAGCATGTCGAGTTATTTCAAACAATCCGAACGTTTAGTAGTTTCCAACCATCGCTCTCCCATTACACTCATATTTCAAGTGTTTCCCAAAATTTATAAAACGATAAAAAAGCTCTCGGCGCGTTATACATGCCTGGGAAAAAAGCTCCCACTGATTCACAATGGTTAATGACTGGCTTTAGTGAAAACTGAGGAACTAGTATAGCTATTCCAGGATTTCAGGGAGAATCGACAAGACCAATATTCAATGGTATTCGTAAAGAAAACCAAAAAACCTAGACATCACGGTAGATGATGGATGCGAAGCAATGGGCATAGTGAACGAAGTAATGAGATTCGCTCACTTTGTTGTTTCGGGTCTTGTAAATAAACAGATAAAAGGATAAAGGATAAAACTCTCGGCGTTGATCAATTTTTGAGGGATTAGCCATGCATTCGAATTCATTAAGTGTCGTTGGAGGTGATTGAATGCATATCTGGCTATTATAATGATTCGCGGTGGCCTATCGATGTATCGAGCCAGAGCTGCTATCCTCCCAGACCAGTCTCGTACCAGTTTGTCGACCCCGGAGGGATGGAAGGCTTTGTGGGCCACGGGTGCAGGGATCGATCCGGATGCAGGAGTGTGTGTCGCGGGGCGCCTCCGACCACTGCGCCACACGCGTCTGACATTTATAGCTTTAAAAAGTGAGAAAAAACGTTGCAAAATGTTTAACTGTGGAGAGCTAGTATTTCATTTTGTCAAATTTGCTGTACAAATGGTACCATTAAAGAAGGGGCAGACACATCTTCTATCCAGACAAGGAAGATATTTTTCCTCGAGAAGTGTCCAGTATGGTAGTACTCCATTGTCGTTCTTGGGCACTGTGTGCTTTCCAAAAGAAGACCACTCGACGTCCTTTTCGTCAATCTGAACACTTCGTTAAGCAGTTGCTAATCTGATTCGTTCTCAAAAATTAAAGAAAAAGTTGTCGGCTAGACCATTATGAACTTATCTGAATCTTGAACTGGATCGATACCACGGAAAGGTTGTTTAAAATCACTGATCACTCCAAAGTACAGTGAGACATTTTAGGTGCTTACGTCCATTTGGTAATTCCGTACCATATACACTCAGCTGGACGCGCGTTGCTCGCTGTGAATTTGCAAGCACTGACCCTTTGAGGATCCGAGTGTGGGACTCTGAACCACGGTTGCTCTACTCTCTCGACATATTTCTTATTCCCGATCAGATACTCCGTTTCTGTGATAAAGTTGCAAGCGAATCGAAAGTAGGAGAGCAGACCCAAGACAAGCGTCCCTCTGCTTTTCATGTTCTCGCTTCTCTGCAAATTCATATCTTAAAATGCTCCAAACTATATAATCTACCAAGATAATGTCAGTACTTAAAGGTTAGGAAGGAAATCGATGGTGTAACCTTAAAGTTGCCCTGTGCTTTTGGGTTAAGCTAAATCACTAACGAGGGATGAATTGCTTCGACGAGCTGAATTTCTAGAGGTGCGAAAATAGAATGGTGGTAGGTTAGGCATAAAGTAAGAATAGGAAACTTATACAAGCCTACTCTTATACCAGATTCTTCATAATAACTAGAAAACTTTTATTGAATAAGATGCTTTCTTTATAGGAAAGATTCCCATTATTTGTGCGAAGAACCAGAACTATGTTAATTGCAACCGGTCCGTCTTTGATGACCTGAAACAAGGTCGTTCATGCTTTTTGGCTCTCTACATCCTACATTTCGGCAGCTAAACCTTTATATATTAGTATGTTCAATTTCCACGGCAGAATTTTATTTCGAAAATATCATCGGCACATCTTTGCATCCTGTCTGCATCTGATGGAAATGCTATGTTGTACTCTATGTTTCCTAGGTAGCCGTATCTTCATACGCGCGCAAAGTGATCGTCTACCGGTTTGGGTAACGTGTTCATATTCACACGTCCTACAAGAGACCAGGTTTGTGCAATTTTCTCATGAACATACACGGCCGCATAGAAAACTTCCAACTAATTGTTGACGTAAAGCTTTCTGGAAATTCGTAAGCAGCCATGATTTTTAGACCAGCCTTTTTTGACCACCGCTTAATAGGCTCTGCGTACGTCAGTGCTAATGAGAGTCTAGGTGAATCAAGGATAAGTTTTTCTTTAACTCTAACATAAGCGTGCAGCAATGTTTTGCCACTGCGTCACACGATAAGCATATATGGATCTATTTGTAGTATGTGGCAGAAGTAGGCTCAAATAGAGTGATCATACATCTGTGGGTGGAAAATTCTAAAAATCGCGTATTCCTATCCCACATATACGCAACGTTTTGGTAGTTTTGCAGACGTTACACCTAGCAATATCTATTTAGCAATCTAGAAGTTTTTCATGTAGCATCGTATAGAACGAAAACCACAAAAAACCAGTGCGCATTGTGTTATGGGCGGGCGGCGCGGGCCATACGGCTTGATTTCCATGCGTATTACAAGCGCCCTACTATTTCGCGTGGTCCAATCGGCCAGCCATGCAATATAGAGCTTGGTTGCTAAAGGGTTAACTTATAAAGTTCTGCGTTCAAGTTTCCTGATTGCCGTAGTGGAGCGATGCCATCGGGTGCACGAGTAATAAAACTTGTTGGCCCTACTAATAAGCCGCAATTAGAGGACACTGCTGCTTTTTCGACAGTTGATCAGAAAATTTCGAGAGCTAGAGGAGTTAAAGTGTCGAGAAGACCACAGAATTACAGGAGAAGGCTTGTTCCATTGAACATGAGGTATATATACATTGCTCCATTTTACTACAGTTTCTCTTCAAAGAACATCGCTCTCAGCATTTGGAACTATTTTACAGCCTGTTTTGAGTGTATTTCCATAATTCTTCGTACATGTCCATTTCGTATTATAAACACGCTTCATCAAGACAACTCGGAATGAAAAAATTTAACTCTTATCGAAAAATGTTACTTCTTCTAAAATGTTCTTCTTACGTAACTAACATTGCTGGTTTTGCAATAAATCCCGATGATTTTCAGTGACTAGACGAGGTTAGGGTTTGAGAAGATGACACAGTTATGGAAGAAACACCATCTTGTCACCCAAAAAGAGTACTTATGAAGGATGTTTTAACTTTTGTTAAGTGCTTATTCTTTTTTCCAGATGTGAGCAAAACACGAGCCTCAAGTGGGCTTCGAAGTGGTAAGACGGGTGAATGGCATAACCCTTCGAAGTCGTGCGATTCGTTTCCAAGCAAAGCCGAATGATTTCATGGTCACATCGTGTCCCATATTTAGTCACAGATCATGGAATATATTTCCATTTTATTATGCGATTCATGCTAAATTTTAGCCGTTACAATAAAATGGGAAAAAACTGTAAAGAAAAGATTTTCTGCACGGATTCAATTTCGTGCATAAAGGAGTGGAAAGTGCTAACAATGTCAGATTTACCTTTAATCGCAACAATTTCTAAACTTTCGTAGTGGATTTAAATTTCTTAATATCGTCGAAAGATGGAGACGGTTCTCCACCATTGACGACAATTGCATGATCATCCTGGGTGGAGCGTATCCACACACAACGGTTCGATTCCTTGTGAAAGAACTAGGCTTTTGTGTGAGAGCATCTTCAACTGAAATGAACATCTGAAACCTCTACAATCTGTTTAATTATGAAATCCTTATAATACACCGAAGGCTCATAAGATCGACTTTCTATAAACCTCGGCATAATCGATATAGCTGTAAATATGTCCTTGCGAGCCGTCCTTTTTTAGCCGATGCGAGGTCGGTATAGACGTTCTTATTGCTGCTGGTGTCGTTGTTCAGTGGCTCACAATTCGACGACTTCGCCTTCCTAAGAGGCTAGACTTACCATATATAAAAGTAGCCCCACAATTCGGCGGATTACGTAGTATTAATGAAGACCTATAAAACCTATGAAGTAGCAGGTACTTGACAAAGTGGTACTGAAAGCCAAGTAACAAGAACAACCTCGTTCATTTCCTTTCTTCCTACCCTTCACACACAAAGAGGCCGCTTGTCAGAAACATGTTTCGAACAGCCACCTCTGTGTCCACAACCAGGGAACTAAAGGAAAAATCGCGCGACTTGGCTCGGCAAATAGCCATCTCCAATGGCTACGAAATAGTAACCCCACGAGATAAGCTTAGAAGGAGAGCGACGCGCCCACGCGAAACACTTGGCCAAAAGAAAGTCCCGTTCATGTTGCCCTTTATTAGCTATGAAGTAAGCGTAGCTATTAAAAGATGCTTAAGAAGGGCGGGTCTAGTGAAATCGGTGGCGATAGTTGAAATACCACGGGCAATTCTACGTCGTCAGTTAGTTCGTAACCGCCTGTATGACAATCTATGCGAAACATCAAATTGCGTAATTTGTCCTTACAGTAGGGATGGTGATTGCATGAGTTCAGGCACGATATACCTGAGCTCTTGTAATAATTGCGGGGATGAATATATTGGCGAAACGGGCAGACCTTTTTGTATCCGTATAAAAGAACAACTAGATGGCAAACGAAAACTAAGACGAAGTATCCCACTAGGCACGCATAGGGTACAAAAACATCGCGGAGACGATTTTGAAGTAAAAGTCAATATCCTTGCACAGGAGACTAAAATACCAGCGCGAAACTTCTTGAGGCTTTTTGGATAAATGCCAAAAGCCCTACAATGAATAGCAGGGATGAATGCCCGGAGGTTAAATACGATCTGACCCCGTATGTTCGCACCAATTTCTGATGTGGGATGATGCAGTCATCAACCATGTGTGACTATAATAAGCCGTTCTAATCTTCCTCATTGGAAGTCACGTAAAAAGCGGTAGGCTTCTCACGAAGCTGTAATTACGATAGAGTGTTTCGTCTTTTTGTAAGTGTTATTGAAGCGTTTGGCCTAGTAGATTGCATATCAGTATACCCTTCCAGGCTCTGAAGAAGGCGATGCTGCCGAAACGTCAGCTACTGTTGTATTTTGCAATGCGTTTTTCTATGAAAGTAAATGTATGCTTTTTAACAACCTCGCGATTGCCGAACAAGAAAGAAAATAGCATTCGTACTACACTCGGCTTAGAAGCATGACGGTTAAAAATTGTTGAACCCAATGCGATTATCTGCATTATGACATCATCGTAGGAGAGCTCAGTTAGCTCAGTTTGAAGAAGTTTAAGACGGAAAGTAATCCTTGTGGACCTACACTTCGATTAAAAGCACTCCATTATTTTAGTGTAGGGTTGGTCGCGGTTAACAGCAATTTATTCGTAACATCGCAAATAAGGAGTGCAATTTTCGGCATCGATTTCTATCAAATGCTAACTCCATGAGTCTTTTGACGTCAATATAATTTGTAATATCGGAAGTTTTTCTCATCACTTGCTAAGTCTTGAATAAATAGAATTCTTACATGTTAATAGGTTCTTCTCCTTGATACCCTCGTTTATCCAAACAGTGACTGTCTATTCTCAATCTCTTTCTAACATATTTTTCATAACCTTTTCTAAAACATCGTTACGTTGCCTTCAAAACTAAATCTGGGCAGCAAGCGATTCAAAAGAGAAGTAGGCAACGGGTGAGCGAGAAGTTTCATGTGAACCAATGGTGACCATTTTCATGCCCTGAGGTGGGTATTTGTTCAGATGTCCTTAACCTTTCCCTTCCCTGTAAATTTAAAGTGCAGTTACCTTTTGTCGTATTCATTCATAGGCATGTGAGTTTGTTTGGGTGTATGACCTAAGCCTAAGACTAAGCTCCACCCATACAATCGAATTTTGGGAGTGAAAATACAGTTAAGCGACCAATTAGCAATGGAGCCTATTTTTTCTAAGTAAGATAGCAGGGCAGTGGAAAGCCGAAGTGACAACTGAACTTTTCCAAACAATTAATAATCACTCGTTTTTTGCTGGTTGATGCATGATTTTGATTTCCAGGTATGTTGGCCTTCCTTCGGCAGTCTAGTCTGCCTGTCTCTCTGCAGTATCGCTCATGTAAACCATGTGAAAGATTATTTATCTCACATGAAAACGTAGTCGCGGTACCGTAATTTATCATGGTGAATTTTTACTGAAATTAACATGCCTTGTTTGGCCCAAGCCATTGATTTCCCAGGTGCTCTACTGACTTCATTCCGGAATTTTGCCATTATTTGCTCACGAGTCTCCATTATCAAGCGTTAGCACGTCGGTTCCCATCGGTACTTTTCTCCCTTGACTTCTGACCAATTTGTTTTTCTTATTTTATGCACTATGTTCGTATCATTATGTAGAATCGTACTGTGTATATTTAATCTCTTATGGCTACGAATTTCGTAACACCGTAAATCAGTGTTTATTTTGGAACTATTGGACGGAACTGGTGGAATAGTGCTTTTTAGCCCAAGATGGGCGATTGTTTTTAAAGGATTGCTTATCTATTTGCACAATTTTACTTTTTGCTGTGTGCTACTGCTCACGAAGGGCGCGTGTGGCGCAGTGTTCGGAGGCGTCCAGCAACACACACATGGGATCGATGCCCGCACCCGTGGCCCACCAAACCTTTCATCCCACTGGGGTCGGAAAATTGATATCAGACTTTTTTGGGAGGGTAGCAGCACTGGTTCGATACATCGGTACGTTAGCGTGAGCGAGTGAGTCATTGTAAAGGCCAGGTATGCATTCAATTACCTCTAACAATGCTTAGTGAAGTAGAATGCATGGCGCATCCCTCAGAGATTGATCAACGCCGAGCTTTATCCTTATCCTTTATATTACTATAATGCGCTGAATTAAGGTAAGTTAATGATTTTGCTCGTCATTCTATATGAGGTACGGCTCTACTACTTATTCTATTGGTTCACTGTTTGCTCGTGTTATTTCAATTTGTTCATTGTTTAACCAAACATTCATTTTAAAATCTAGTGGACAGCGAATTGGAAGGATTTTAATTCTAGAAGCATCTCACATTTGTTTAATGATTTTGTAAAATCAAATCATTCATTCTCTACGACATAATCATGCGAATCAATTCGTTGATTGACACTTTTCCATCAGTGATCTCCAAATTCCCAAGAAGTAAATCAACTTCCTCGGCGCTCATCTTCTCTCCTGAACATGTTTTTTTTTGCGGTAGAGATTTTTTTCACCGTGGTATCAGGGTTTTGAACAGTTGTCCGAAATGTGTATATAACGTATAACAGTATTGTGGGCTACTACTAGTGATGCCGATCAATACGAATAAGGCGCTGTTTAGCCCTAGCACCGGTCTAACAATTCCCTGTCATCCATCGGGCGTGAGGAATTTGATGTTAGAGGTGTCTGGTGACCAGCCGTCATCCTAAAATCCGCAAAGGTTCCCAAATGCTCGTGAAAACGCCTTAGCGTGACTATGCCAGGATTGCAGAGGCAGTGGACCCGATTAGCATTCAATGAGCTTCATAAATAACACCAAATATTATCAAGTAAGAGCGTTACATGAAGCCACGCGTCAAGATTCGGAGTCTTCGTGAACGATGGGTATGACGAAACAAGCCAAATTGGGCCGCGTAGAAGTAGGATACTGCTACTGTATATCTACACCATGTGATGAGATTGCTGTTGTTGGTAACGTCCAAGGCTTCCGGTTCAAAACTCTTAACCTAAAACCAACTCGAATTTTTTCTTCTTATGGTAGACCACAGGCGGAAAACCTGTTTAGGCACAGGCTATTCGTCTATTAAATGGAGCTTATGAAATATAGCATAGATCAAGTCAAAATTCAAAATCTTAGCTGATTTCTAGAAAGCATAACAATGTGTTAAGAAGTCGAAATATGGAAAGACTTCAAGCACATCATGTTGTTGGATCTAAATGATAACTCCTTGAGAATAACTATTACTTTTACTTGTTTATCTGTTTATTAGGGAAGCACGTGTGGAGCAGTGGTTGGAGGCGCCACTTCGACACGCACGTGGAATTGACCTCCACACTCATGGTGCACCAAGCCTTCCATCCCTGCGGAGTCGGCATATTGGTACCAGACTCGTCAGGAGGATAGCAGCGTTGGCTCGATACTTCGGTAGGCTACCGCAGGTCATTGTAAAGGCCAGATATGCATTCAATCACCTCCAACGACACTTAATGAAATCGAATGCATGGCGCATCCCTCAGGGATTGATCACCGCCAAGAGCTTTATCCCTTATCCTTTTATCTGTTTATTTACATGGCCCGAAACAACAAAGTGTGCGAATCTCATTACTTCGCTCACTACGTACATTGTTTCGCATCCATCATCTACCATGATGTCTAGGTTTTTTTTGGTTTTCTTTACGAATACCATTGAATACTAGTCTTGTCTATTCTCCCTGAAATCCTGAAATAGCTATACTAGTTCCTCAGTCTTTACCAAAGCAGTCGTTAACCATTGTGAATCAGTGGGAGTTCTTTCCAGGCATGTATAACACAGATCTCGTGACTTAGGTGGCATCGCGAGCTCGCTTGCTGCGGGCGGTTGTCGAACTGGTGACCATGCGTTTATTACTTCTATAACAAGTGGCATTTTTCGCTTTGACAGCACGACATTAGGACCATGATTTCTTCGATGGTGAATGAATGTGCCATATTAATAAACGTCAAACTTGATGTACCTAGGTTTTGAAGCATGTAACGAAGATCGTGCAACTTCACATTCCCGCTACCTTCGCGATCATAGTGCGAAAGTAAACTCTGAAATGGAAGGACGTGTGTTATTTTGTCATAAATAATCTCGGAAATCTACGGAAAAAATATTGCACGTTAGCATTTAGTGCTAAAGCAGCGTAAAAATCTAATATGACTTAGATACTACCATTTAACAACATGTAAGACGTCGTTTTGGCCTGGTGATCCTTGAAATCCAGCGCTACATTGGAAATCCAGAGAAAAGTGGGCTGCATTTACATCTTATTCACGGGTTATGCTATCGCATAGAGCGCTTTGCGGAGCTACATAACTCTATACAAAGCTTAGATCTGAAATGGGTAGTGTTCACCTGGAATTGCTCGAAGGTTGGCGGTTTCCCGGATTCCTTTCTCACGTTTTGATAGATGGGCATAAATTCTTCGATGGAGATGCGGGTTTCTAAATGAGCCTCTTTTTAGGAATGCGCAATTACAGTAAATGGATGTAATTCAAAGCCTCGGCTATGCGCTGCAATGCTAAATAATTTTCTGAGGAATTGAGGGACCACTCACCAGGCTGATCCTTCCATTGACTGGTCATGCGCTCTATAAGTTCTTGAGTTGGCTGCAAGTTGAGTGAACGAAGACAGTTTCCGATCTGATCAAATAACGATATTATACAACGATGCTAATTATAACAAGCAATACATACTGTTAATAGTAATATTAAAACATGGGCGATGACGTAATGTTAGTGATACCATTCATTACGCGCGAGGCACTCGATCAATCCCATTCAGTGTCCATGCAGTCTCTCGTCCATGTGTTGTCGAGAAATTGGTGACAAGTTTTCCGGCACAAGCTTACTGTCTTATGTCCACATGAGAACTCCCTAGCACGTTCAGCCCACGATTCCACACAGAATCGACTCAACCAGCGCTCTACGACGATAGGGGGCGAAAATCCTCGTACAGTAGCCAAGCACGCAAAATTCTTGGAGACATTAATAGGCTGTGAAGACGACAAAAATAACTGAATGCAGGAAGTGTTGGTATCTCCATAATATCTGTGATCACGAGTTATGTAAAAAAAAAAGTGTTGAAACAGGAATTGTGGTAATAGCATAGTAATGTGATTACATGAATTACTCGTATTCATGAAAAATGCGAGTCCGAGCACATTCTCCACTGAAGAGGTGTGATTCTGGTTGAGTATGACAAGGTTTCGTTGGGGTTTCAATGAACGTAACCAAATAGACATTCTGTCTCACATTATAAGAAGCAATCACGGGTCATTATTCATAAATGGAAGGTGTCCCAATTTATCTATTGCAACCAGGCGTCTTCCAAGAATGCGGCGGTTCCTGGCATTGGTCCATTTCTAGGCAGGATTTCAGATAGAGACATTTTCTTCAGCGGGGAGATAATCTTCTATACACATCACATTTCGACTCCCAAGAACTCTCTTGCCCTTCACGAAAAGATGACATATCCTTAATGGAATGACAACAGTATAAACATGCTTCTTCGTTCACAGTGATAAAAATATTCAATCTAACTTATCCAAAACGTGCTTTACCTTCTAAATGAGGCGATTGGATACTTCTGCATGTTCGGTTTCTAACTTGACGACGCCGGGCGGTAATCGAGGGACAGAAAGTGTTTGGCATTTCTATGTAAGAGTCAGAAATTTAAAAGTGAAAGATGTCTTACGTTGACCATGTCTTGCTAAACACTACACAACGGCCATCTATAGACGACCGGGACCGGTCATCTGGATGCCAAATTAGCTACCTTAAAGACAGCAAGAGCGAGATAAATGGCAGGTGTGCCTAACCACTGTCAAGAACCCTACTATTCGTGGCCAAAAATCTCTGTCGTGATATCTTGGCATAGGATTCGTGATACCCTCAACTGTTAACTAACTCGCAAACTTATCCGATATCCTACTATATACTCTCTCTAAACTCTCTTCTGAGGAATGGCCAATTATTATCAACTGCTACTATCACCATTGGTGCGAGTTGTCATTAGTTGCTGGTATAGTCACTGGAAGGGGCACGTGTGGCGCATTGGTTGGGGGCGCCATTGCGGCACACACTTGGAATCGATCCCCGCGCCCATGGCCCACCAAGCCCTCCATCCCTCCGGTGTCGGCAAACTGGTACCATACTTGTCTGATAGGATAGCAGCACTAGCTCGATACATCGGGACCACCGCGAAGCATTGTAAAAGGCCAGATATGCATTCAATCACCTCCTACGATACATAATGAAGTCGAATGCAAGGTGCATCCCTCAGAGATTGGTCAACGCCGAAAGTTTTATCCTTTATCCTTTATAATCACTGGTATTCACCAAGCTATGAAGGTGGAAGGAACCAATTCGACCCCATAAATGGCATATTGGAAGAGGAATGCAGCACGTACGGCTCTGCAAATTCGCTTTCAGTAACTTCAACACCGGAATGAGAAATCCGGAAGTTTCGTCGAGATGCACCACATTTTCAAAAACAACTGATACTGTTTCGTTGGAACCACCTCACAATTGTCTTTCCATATTGGATACGATTACTGATTTTTCGAAGCTTCGATTTTGAACTGCCTGGCAGAACCTCTCTATTTCTGCAACAGTAGTATATTAGGAAAGGCCATCAAAAAATTAGAAAAAAAGACAGATTTATTCGAAGAACAGAAGTCCGCAATGGAGACCTTCGGAGGACATGTTTATAGTTCAGGTCGACCAGCTGTGTTCCGAAACTAAAACCATCTGTAGGCTACAGAGTGACACTTGCAGACGGTATAATGTAGGAAAATGACTTCCATCATAAAGCAAGATCGCGGTTGCATTGGAGGAAGAGAGATGGTCCTGTGGACATGTAGAAGAGCAGTTCAACTAACTGACTGAAAGAGTGGTTTACCTGCGATGCGGCGATTTTCGAATCGCCTTTGGTATCGTGGAATTGAAATACCTCTTCGATGCCTTCCATCTAAATTACCTCATTAGAATACGATGTATAATACTTAGGATAAAAATGTCGCTTCCTTGTCATTAGCACATGAAAATTGCCCTTCACTGAGGAGAATTCGAGTAAAAACTGCACAATTTCCTAGATCAGTAATCGTTCTCTTTCAGAAGGCATTAGAAAGTAAGAACAGTGCTCATGAATGAACCTTATTACTCTCATAATAGATTTATCACGATATGCGCTGATTTCAATGCATACATAAAGTGGGAGAACTGAACGGCATCTATTGATAATTTCAATGAATCTTCCTCCCAGTAGTTTCTCGTCTGGCGTACAAACTTTCGTGCTTCAAAGTTTCTGAGTAAATTGTAGTCTTTGCGTAACACGGATCAGGAAGAGCTCTATTCTACCATACAGCAACTGCAAAGAGTTATTGGTCGCTAAAAATGTATTAGTAAAGAGTTTCGTTTTACATGATAATCTTTTATACATTAGTAAACCCCTTCATCTGCTTTTAAACTTCAAGGTAGTTTTTGCAACACAACATTTTTTACTTCAATAAACGTCAGCAATCATATTCATAACGCCTATGTACTGATGTTTCAAGCAAAGTTTAAAATACTAGTAGTAGGGCCTCCGTGGCGTAGTGTGTAATGCGCGAGTCTCCGGAAAGGAAAATCGTGGTTCCATCTGGCTCGGGATTTGAGTTTTGCGAATATCTCACTATTGTTGTGGTCATATATATATATATATATATATATATATATATATATATATGCGTATATATGTGTAGGAAGCGGATAGCAAAGTGGTAGTGGTGTCAGTGATCACGAGCACGGTGGTAGTTCAATTCCGCTCTGAGCCAACGAAGCCTCTCATCTCTCTGGGGTCGAGAAATTGGCACCGGACCCGTTTGGAAAAAATTAATTCTCTGCAAACCAATTAGCAACGTTACTTCCCGGCTATATCAGGACTCCAGGAAGAGTTTCTCGACCAGCATCCTTCGATAGTCAAGATGAAATTAAAATCCTCAAAGAAAAACCGAAGCCACATGTAAAAGTTGGAAGTTGTATGTGTAACGGTTTACTACCGCTATTTGCTTTCCTAACGGTTTCCCGCCTTATCGTGGCTGAGACGCGTTCGTTGGTGCCGGATTGCGATGTACAGCGGGTCATTCGTCCAACCAGCAGGGTCTCCCATGCTGAGAAGGAGTTCAGCGTTTCCATCAGGAAGCCTAGCTATAAGTGGTCCAATATTACGATTCACTACCGTCTTGCAATCAAACTAATCGCATGGTGGCCATGCTCCCTCAGATCCATAATGGCTGCCACTGCCAGGATTGGTGACGACCTAAGTTGACTTTAGACTCTAGAGGACCACAACAGCCAAATCAGAAAGTTCCGAAAAAATGCAAATTGTGCTAGGAAATGCGCAACCAGTGAATACGAGCCATCTAAATATCCAAAGTATATATATGTATACCTAATATCTCAGCACCGTTGTGGCTGTAATTCACATCGTACCGCGCCGTAAAATTATAGTTGGCAGAAAGTAGAAGGTTAACATTAGTAGTTTATAATCCTAACCTTTTTATTTACTACCTATTCTTTTTAAGGGCAGGGTATGTTGCGAAATATAACTTTTATAATGCTGAGATATTTTCGAAACACCGGACAGCAGGTGACTGCGGTGTGGAACGAATGCGCTACTGTCCTTTCCGGGGAGTAACGCGTTCACCACCACACCATCCGGGTCCTTCGTTTCGCCTGTCTCTCAGCTAGATCTATTGATCTTTTGCCATCAGCAATCACCCGTCAACGGAACTGGGAAGTCCAAATCGGCATTGAACCCAGTAAAGCTGAGGATATAGTTATAATCACAATCTTAACCGTTTTATTGCTGATTTGCTTGCTCAACAAAAAAAAATTTATAAAAAACAAAATTACTCAATTACTCAACAAAATGATACTTCCACGTGATTTTTGTGCGGTTGGTCTCTACGTGACATACTTAGTGGAAACCTCATAGAAAGCGGCTCTGAAGAAGGCGAAATCCGCCGAAACGTCAGCTCATTCGTGAATAAAGAATAATAACACCTCGCGTTTGCTCAACAAAAATACGAAGAAAATTACCTTTAATTTTTAGAGAAAGCATTATCACAAGGACAAAAGCTCGTCTTAGTTCGCCAAGCAGTTCACTTTCTACGTCACTGTCTAAAACATCGAGTCGTTCAAAACTTTATCAAAACGAAGGCGACTGCACGCTATTTACAGACTACCAGAGGACAGTCGTCGAGTGCTGAGCATCGAAATGCGATGACTACGCATCTGTCCATGAAGTAAACAAGACAAAGTGAAATATAACTTTAATGATGATGAGATATTTGTAAAATTCCGAACCGCAGGTGTCTGCGGTGGGGAACGAACACGCTATTATTCTTTCTGGGGACTAACGCGTTCACCACCACACCATGTGGGTCCATCGTTTCGCCTCTCCTTCAGCTAGTTCTATCGAACAGTGAGATCAGTCCCACTGGCGGGTGACTGCTAATGGCACTAATCGACAGAACTAGCTAAAAGACAGGCGAAACAAAGGAACCGCATGCTGTGGTGGTGAACGCGTTAGCCTCGGAAAGGGTGATAGCCTGTTCGTTTCACACCGCAGACACATGCGGTCCGGAGTTTTGCAAATATTTCAG